TACAAATATAGAAAGAATAACAATATACAATGATAAAATCTCAAATTGGAATCAAATAAAATACCAAAAATGTCAAGAGAAAAAGTCCATCATGTCATAGCAAAAATATGTAAACATGGAGGGATTTTCCAAAACACAAAACATTCAAAAAGAATTCTACAGTAAGTAAGGTGTGTAAGTAAGTAAGTAAGTAAGTAAGTAAGTAAGTAAGTAAGTAAGTAAGTAAGTAAGTAAGTAAGTAAGTAAGTAAGTAAGTAAGTAAGTAAGTAAGTAAGTAAGTAAGTAAGGTGTGTAAGTAAGTAGGTAAGTAAGTAAGGTGTGTAAGTAAGTAAGTAAGTAAGTAAGTAAGTATCCAAGACGTAACATTAACCGTTGAATTGAACACGTAGAAGCCTAGGCTGCACCCATTAAATATATTTTGACAGTTAGTATTGTCAGTCCTAATCAAATAGTTTCTTTTCATGAGGCTTAGTCTTCGTATGGGACTCTTCAGCAATATGCATTCACCATCCCCCCTCGAGCGAATCGAACCCAGGACCTTCAATGTTCCAGGTTTTTATAGTGGCTTAACAATGATTAATTCAAGATTTCAATGTAAGACAACAATCTTGATAACTCTATGATGAAAAACATATCAGAAAGGCTCATTCATGAATTACAGAAAATATGTTGCTAAATATTAACAAACACAAACTAAAGTGGAACAGTATGATAATGAATTTTATGAGTTTTTTACTGGTAACGAGATTTATTAATCTGAAATTTAAAACAGTTAGTCCGTCTTATAAATTTTGATAGAACAATGTAAAGACTGAGTATATCTGATACATGTGATGTACTTGTGCATTACTTTTCGAAAAATCTGGTCACATATATACACTTGTCAATTTCGGATGTAGTTGCTAACTTGATGTGGTGCTCGGGCTTGCATATTGTGATGGCCCAACCGAGCTAATATTGGCTGGAATATATGTTCTTGTAGGTTCTACTATGCCAGACAGATCGATTGAAAAACGGGAAGACTAAAAGGAGTAACACAATGTCTGAGGGCGAAGTCATATTACTGAAGAGGAAGGGGGTGTGACGGCAGTAAGGTGCTTTCTTCCGACAAACGGCATCTCCAGCGATGCTGAGATGGTTCGGATATGTGTTAAGTGTGCCCAACCACCAACTGCTTCGGCAAGCGGTTTTGTGGTGTGGGTCGGAAGAAGCTAAGGGCGGCTAAAACAAAACATGGCAGAAATTCATGAAGTCACTCACAAGTGGACTAAGCCGGGTTACTAGATGTAGACTACCTGGTTGGGATCCGTGAGATGATAGTAACAGATAGTTTAGAGACCTTGAATGATACGTCTCAAAGTCGTTTATAGTGGCGCAGGTGCATCCCAAATTCTGATCTAAACTTCTTATTACCTTCATCTTTCTCTATCTAAATTTTACTGGATTCTACTTCTGGAATAATATCTTTGAAACTTAATCTATTCGAATACTGCTCATAATTCCACTACTTCTACCAATATAGGGATTTGAATCGACAATTGCACTCCCATGTTACGGTGGTATGACAACTGGAACAGATGTACGTACTTACAGAGTTCTACGTTTCAACTGACAGCAGTAAGGTGTTTCCTTTAGACAATTAGCGTCTGCAGCGATGCTGCCTTCTCACAAGGAAGGAAGGGGTTGTAAAACGTCAACCTAAAAATGCCACACTTTATCTTACCTCGCGGATTTCAGTCTCCATCGGAAGGGCGTTTTGAAGAGTGGAGCTAACACGTTAAAAACACAACCTATGAAGAGGCCCTTTATATTCAGAACGTGTTTTAGAATTGAATGCTAGTGATGAACGCGGTATCAGTGTTATTCGAGAAAAAGTGAAAACATTTGCTCATGTTGCTGTTAGTAGTAATACTACAACTACTCAAAACTCTGATTCAAGTTCAATAAACATTCCACCTTATAAATTAATCATCTTAGATGAAGCTGATTCAATGACAGCACCTGCACAAGTAAGTTTCTTTTTGTATTCTCTGTGTTTATGTACCCTTACTTACTTACACACTTACGCCTGTTACCCCCAAGGCATCTCCATCAAGAGTGATTTGGTTGGTGCTTGTTGTGTTGCATCGGAGAATTTAGGTTTTTCATTTATGTATGATGAGACCTGCTGCTGCTAAGGCTGCTGTTACGCTAGTCGTCTTCTCTTGCATTTGTTGTTGCGTGTGCAATAGAAGAACCAGGTCATCTGCGAAGTCCAGATCGTCCATCTGCATCCTAGCTGTCCACTGGATACCGTGCTTCCCTCCAGATGTTGACGTCTTCATAATCCAGTCGATCACCAGGAGAAAGAGAAACGGTGCGTGTAAGCAACCTTGCAATCTGGTTATATGCACAGTGCCAAATAAAAAGTTATCTATTCAAGTTTTTATCCAGCCAATAAGTTCCACATATTCTTAACAATAATTATTGGATTTCTAATTTGTTTAAGCTATTCCCATAAGAATGGATTTATAAAAACGCTATTTTCAATTAATATTTAATCTTGTCCAACTATTTTTATTCTGTGTATTGAAAAATGACTGTTGATTAGTAAAATTCATTTAAGGTTTCGTTAGGCTATTGTCAATTAAGTTTAATGAATTCACTGATTGAATTCTAAATTTAATTAGAGTAGACATTAATTTATAATGAAGAATTCAAAAATTGATATGAAGTAATTGAATTATGCACCGAAAATTCAACTGTTATTCTATTTAACAGATAAGGTCACATCCATAATGATTTCAGTTCATTTAATGTGTTAATATTGGATGCTTAAGTTTAATTTTCATCAAGAATTTGATTTCAAGTCATAATTTTTCACTGAATTCTTATTGATTTCAATTCGGTAGGTTGAAGTACCTTACATGGAAAGTATTCACATGAGATAGTTGCAAAAAAACTTCATTTAGCTTGAAACCATGAATGAATCATTGCTAGACGTCCATTAGAAACCTGGAAGCACTGAACAGCCGTTTAGTCTTGGTATTAAACTCATCAGAAGTGTGCAGACACGACTCCTGCTAATCGCAGGATTCGAACCCAGGATCTTTGGTCTTCTGCGCGAACTCCTAGCCCCTGGACCACTGGGCTCACTAGTAACTAGCTTTATGAGTTTCATGGAGTTCTAGTGAGATGGGACCAGTGGATTTCAACTAAGCTGGGTCTAGGCAGTAACCACCGAAGACAATGTGTGAGCTTGAGCGAAATCTTAAGATTCATCAGATGTAAATACTACCACTGTCGGATTCTGGCTCATTAGTCCAGAGGTTAAGTGCTCGCGCACAATATCGAAGGCCCTGAGTTAGAATCCTGTAAGTAGCAGGAGCCGTGCTTGCGCATTTCTGATGAGTCCCATACCAGGACTAAATGACAGTCTTTCAGTGCTTCCAGGTTTCTAATGATGGCCTAACAACGATTCATTCATGATTTCAGGGTAAAACTGCGGTCTCCATAATACTCTCATGAAAAACTTCATTTAGTCAACTTTCTCATTGCAATTTCAAGTTAGTTAATTATGCTTATAGAGACATATTGGTATTTTAGATAAATCACGACTTTTTACAGTGCTAGACCACGAGAGAAGTTGATGATCATCATGCTTTTATGATTGTACTAGTCACGTTGTTCAAATGGAAATAAGTTCAGAATTTACGGAACTAACAGTTGCTCTAATAAAGATCACTTCGTTCAGTTAAACTAGATTCATTTAGAATTCTTATAATCACTTATATTCAGTAAAGAACTTTGAACCACAATGTAGCAATAATAAAAACTGATAATTAATAAAATTATTTTTGTTGAAACGGTAAGGAGAATTTGAACTGTACATGGATAAGTTTGATGAAGTGCTACCGGGAGTTTTTGTCGACGAATAGCATTTACATCATGATAAGTAAATACTGTATTCTTTTAGTATTGGAAGTTTTCTCATCTAATGAAATGAATAGTTTTAAAGAGATTCTAATATTGTGAGTCATGCATAACTCTCTTCTCATATGAAAAACTGATCAAAGTTGATAGTTAGTAAAATGCCAAACAAACTGTGTTAATCTTACTTCAATCTTTTTTTCAGGTAGAACAATATGCCAGATTGTTTGGGAGCCTATAGAGGCTCATAAACGCCAAAAAAATACAATTTCATCCAATCAACATTGAGTTGAAACCTTCGCAGAAACATGCCACTATTATCTTGATTGGAACCTTCTGTCAGCCCAGGATACATCTCAAAACACCCTGATTTTTCTATACATAGCTTATTAACCTTGATGTAGAGAGTTCATCTTGTACTTTGTGCCTTTTCTCTTGTATTCAGGCTACAGTGTAAACTGTGGTGTGTGCTACGTATACGAACAATATAAGTAGTATAAGAAGAGACGTAAAAGAAGAAGTCTCATGGTCAGAAGAGGAAAAAGGAAAGCAAATGGAGCAAAAGCAAGAAGTAAATGGAGTACCAACAGGAAGGAAAGGAAACAACAACAGGAATGGAAGAAGGATGGAGTGTTGGAAGTCACGACTCAAAGATGGTGTTCAAATAGAGTGTTTAATATAATGTTTTCGTTTTTAATTGATTCAGAGTGTAAATCTGTAGCATACAATCTTCCGCGCCTGCCTCGGGTCTTCGTAAAACGAGTCTGGGTTTTAATAGAAGTGAATAGGAATCAGATCTTGAGTTTGTTTAACAACAGTCTTACTAAAGTTTTACACTTATACATGTGAAATTTAACAATGTTTTTAGCTTCACAAGTGTTTCTAGTAATATCGAAATATTGATTTTTTGGGAAGTAACCACCAAAGGAACAATATGATTATTACTTAACAAAAGGCAGTTACAACCAATAATTAAATTAATAAAACCTAATGAACTGAGAACTTAAAAGTTTTAAAACGTTTATTTGTTGTTTTTAAGAAAAAGGTACTATTTATTACTTAGCTATAAATTATTTATATTGATAAAGTGTATTTAAAAATTAATAAGAATATGGAGTTAGTTATTTATGAAAAGAAAATATATTTATATTTTTATATAACATAAATGTTACTAGGCGTGAAGTAAGTATGTTTAATAAGTAGTTCTCTTTATTTTGTACTCACAATCATCAGAAAATTAGTGAGGATCTTTCATTGATATGACAAAGTGTATTATTGATTTATGCACGCTATCATCAAGACTGCAATAAATGTTTCAACATGGTAGACGTGAAATACAATTAGAAGTAGTCATTGATGGATTGTTGACAGTTCGCAAAAGCTCCACAGTTTTAAGAAGCAGGGAAGAGGTTTTAAATTCCTTTTTGTCTAACCAATGCTTAGTAGAAAGCTTTCAGAGAATGGTAAAACAGGGGGGGGGCAGAATACTTGCAAGATTCTGATTGTTATTTAACTCAGCTTATAAACAGAGAGTTTCAGAATATGAGAGTCATACATAAACCTATTCATATCCTTGTTTTCTAGCCCTAAAGTATCTTTATTCGCAAAGATAGATGGTGGTTAGTAGTAGAA